CCTAAGCCCTAAACCCTTAAGGGTTTAGGGTTTAAGGATCATGGGACTTAGTAAGTAGAGTTTAGGGTTTAGGGTTTAGGGTTTAAGGATCATGGGACGTAGAAAGTAGGGTTATAACTAAGGTAACTATACTTATAACCCCAATTAAAGGACTTATAACCCTACATACTAAGTCCCATGATCCTTCAAGTAGGGTTTAGGGTTAACCGCCCGATGGGGCTCAGAGGCTGAGGAATCGAAGCAATTGTTCGAGTTTCGGGGATTTAGGGTCTATGGCAGGGTTTAATTGGGATTTAGGCTTTAGGGTTTAGGGTTTGGGGTTTATGGCTTAGGGTTTGGAGTCTATGGGTTTTAGGGCATTAGAGACCTAAACCTTAAACCCTAAACCCTAAACCCTAAACCCTAAGAGTCTAAACGGTTTAGGGATGTAGAGCCAACGGGGTTTAGGCAGTTAGAGCCCATAGGGTGTTGGGCGTTAGAAACTTATGCGTTTAGGGAGGCTCTGGAGCTACGGCCGGTTTAGGGTTTAGAGTTTAGGGTTTAGGGTTTAGGGGTTAGGGGTTAGGGGTTATAAATACGGTAACTATACTTGTATATACTTGTAACCATAATTAACGTACTTATATCCTTACTGGCTAAGTCCCCTGATCCACCAAGTGCGGGTTTGGTTTTTGCTTTAGACGATGGGGTGCTCCTCACAATTTGCCCCGTCGTAGTCGGCACCTGCAGTGGCTAGGAAGCCAAGGATGCGTGTTGCATGTGGCGTTGCAGTTGGCGAATGGTTGACAGACGGCAATGATTCTGCCTAAACCCTAAACCCTAAACCCTAAAGCCTAAACCCTAAACCCTATACCCTAAACCCTAAACCGAATGGTTGACAGACGGCAATGATTCTGCCTGTGGCATCGGCTCGCTCCAGAGTCCAGAGCTGGACACAGCAGCTAAGCAAGGTCTGTGAATCCGATAGGGGTTTTCGGGGTTTAGGGTTTAGGGTTCAGGGTTTAGGGTTTAGGGACAATGAGTGGGCAGGGTGGAAGCTGGACATATTCCATATGATTGCGAGGCAGGACTTTTGGAGGTCGGCTGGGTTCCAGTCTCACTTCATTTAATGAATACGACGGGACGCTGCAATCCCGTGAAGTCTTTCTTGGCGAAGAATACGCCGCCACCAGGACAGGATCAACTGGCCCTAAACCCTAAACCCTAAACCCTGGCTTTGGAGAAGCTTGGAGGCCAGTGGCCCAGTAGATGCGGAAGCTTTACGTTTCGTCGTGATAATTATCAGATAGGCAGACAGGTATTGGGTATGTAAATACCGTCAGTGACTCACCGCCTCCATTAGTAAAACGGGTACCCCTGATTATTACGGGGGCTACTGGGGAACCTAGGCGACAATTGGTTTAGGCTTAGGGTTTAGAGTTCGGGTGGTAGGTAGGATCTGCATGCTGCGGCTAGGTTGAGTGTATCTGTTAAGGCCCCTTACCAAAACATATGGCGGGTGTGTATTTTGGATCTCGCCTTCTTTTTGGGTGGAGATATATTGGTAGCAACCTCTGATGCCGTGACCCTAAACCCTAAACCCCTACCAAACCCCCAAACCCTAATATGGAATTCATACCTAGACCCCCAAAAGGATCTAAAAAATAGATCCCTAATTAGGGACCCTAACTACTACAGGGTACTTTATATGAACCCCCTTAGATCCTTTTGGGGGTTTGGGTAAGGACCCTACAACAAGATAGGTCTTGGTACGGTAGGCTAACGCAAGCCCTAGTCGTGGAGTTGGGCGCTTCGGGCTTCGTATTGGTGGGTTTAGGGTTTAGGGTTTAGGGGTTTAGGGTTTAGGGGTTTAGGGTTTAGGCGAGAATTCAATTAAATTTGTGTACACAAAAACCGAACCTATGCCACAAGGTGCAAAAAAACCTTGAAACCTTGAAACCCTCAAGCCCTCAATGCCCCTCAACCCTCAGCCGGTGCAAGTACCCACCCATGCAGACCCTCGGACCCTGAACGTGCTTATGTTGCACCTCATGCTTGGCGCATCCTTCGTGATGAAATGAACGAAGTGGACCGCTAGAGTAGATTCGTTTGCGGTGCTCCTTACCAGAAGAAGTTAGGAACCCCAAACAAAAATTAAGCATAAGCATTTTATAGGGATATCCCTGCCTTATTGGGCTTCATTCTAAGGGGGTGTATATGGGATATCCCTATCCTAATTTTTGCTTGTGCTTTTTTGGGGCCCTAGGAAGGTACCCGAGCGGGGTTGTATTTCCTACATACGCACAGGGTCTGTGTAGGAGAGGTTGTGCGTTGGACACTGCGAGTCATGAAGAACACTGCAACCCTAAACCCTGTAATGTAGGGGCCTAAATAATTTCCTATACCATGTTGGGGGTTCCTTACTGTAAATATAGTAGTATAATATACCACAAAACCCTCTTCTAATCATTCAGGCCCCTTGTTTACCCCAAGCGAAACCTTTTCCCACCCCCAAACCTCTAAATCGTAAGGACTCGAACCAGAGCTCCCTGACCCCATATCGGAGTTTCAACAAAGAGGGTATCCAACTATCCTACAGGGTTCAGGATTTAGGGCGCTATGAGAGACTTCGAGACAAGTTGCCCTGCCTCTCTGCAGTTCCGAGATTGACTGCTGGAGGATTGGAAAGTGGATTATCCAGATGCCCTTAAACTCGTCCTATGGCTCATGCACAAAATCCCGCCTTAGCTTATGTACCCTAAACTATGCTATTCTGATATACATATATATATATATATATATTCAGTTTAGAACATCGCTGTAAATGGAACATAACACCAGTCCGGGCAGTTATAACCCTAAGCCCTAAACCCGAAACCTCTACCTTTGACCTACAAGACTAAGCCTTGTAAAGCCCCCATAAAGTGTCTGCCACTGAGGTCCAGGCTAGGACGGCCGTGATGAAAAGGCTGGGAAATCAGGACTTCGCCACTTCGGCTGCGGTTAGAGGTTAAGAGTTTAGGGTTTAGGGTGAGTCCGTTTGAAGCGGCTGTTTAACCTAATCTGCTTGCCGAGCACAAACCCGCAACTTTAAGGGCATCTGGAAGTTGAGGATGCTTGCTCGCCAGCTTCTCTGCTCGAAGTCCTCATCGGGCATCTGCATGCGCAGACCCCATTGCCAGGTCCTCTTTCAGTCTTGCCCCACAGCCTTTCTTGTCCCTCTTGGGGTGATAGATGTCGCTAGACATCTGAAGAGAAGACAGAACGCGGACACGGCCGTTTTCTGTTGGCATAAAATCATCTGGGCACCGGGTGAACGGCAGCGAAGATGGCTTGGATGGATCGATTTGACCCTGAGGATGGTCCAAGGCACATGGGCATCCAGGACCGCCGCAGAAACTGGACTCAGGTGCTCATCTGGGTAGTTCTATAAACCAGGATCCCGTTTTGGGTCTTTTGTATATAAGGGCGCCGTACTATTTACGGGGGGGATCGAAGAAGCTTCCCCCATTTAGCGAAGTATCCACCTACTAGTCATCTACTAATCATGACCTAAACCCTAAACCCTAAACCCTCAACCCTAAACCCTGACCAAATTAGCAACTAATCAGCATGCGACGCAGTGCTTGTCGTCGCGAGGATCATGGTTGTGGTCGTATGCGGGAACGGCCCTACTCGTGGTAGTGAAAGTAGTAGGCGTAGGAGCAAGAGGGACTATTGTTATTATTATTGTTATCATTTTTAGTAGCAGTAGTAGTCGTCGTCGTCGCGGTGGTTGTTGTTGTTGTTGTTGTTGGTGGTGGTGGTGGTAGCAAAAGTAGTCGTGGTGGTGGTGGTGGTGGTGGTGGTGGTAGTAGTACCAGCAGCTGTTGCAGCAGTGGCAGTGCAAATGTTTCGAAACAGTTCGTAGCAGCGGGCATATCAGCGTATATGGAAGCTTGAGAAGCTAAGAGAAGGATGCACGGGTCGACTCCATTCCAGTTTCACTGCCGAGCTGACAGGAGCACGTCCTCTACGCGAATGCCTCATGTGGGCCTGAATGTGACTTGCCAACAACACTATACGAGTTCTCGTCGAGCTTGGGGGTGCATGGAGGCAGCAGGTGCACCTGTTACCATGTGGAGCACAGCTTTGCACTGGGAAAGAGCCGGATTTACAGGATCGACCATGGAAAGTTTCACGGAAACCCTCCTGAAAGCTTTAGGCTTGAACTGGAAAGCACGAGCATGGAGGGGCAAGTCCAGCGAGATTTGCAAATCGAGGTCTTCATCCGTGAGCAGAAAGGCCACAAGCAACTTTACTCGCTCAAGAATCATAAGATCTATTCTCCGATTTCCAGCGCTTGGTTTGATTCCGAGTTCTTCTACAGAACAGAGCCAGCGCGGAGGGAGGGTCAACTGCAGCACCTGGACCTGGTCATGTGCTTGGCCAACACTCATGTGGTGCCCAAGTATGAAGCAGGCACGGCATTTTCATTCCCAATATTGCCGCCGAGCAGTGGTTGCCTGACGATATCTGCAGACACCCAGCTTGACGATGCCCTCTGCAACGTTGGCATCATCAGCTGGCATACTCGGTGCTTGCGGGATCAAGCGGCATGGCCTGCAGTGGGCCTCAGATCTGTTTCTGGCAGACAGCAGATATTGCTGGGAACCCTTTCCGAGATTCGCCAGCTGTGTCCAGACGAGATGTTCTCTTTTCCAGATTTTGCACGTATGACTGCTTCTGGCTTGGTTGGGCAGGTCTCGTTTCTATTGCAGCAGGCTGGGATTTTAGCATTTTTGGATGAAGATGTCGATGGAGCCACTCGCCTTGCCTGTGTAGTCCTGGACATATTCGATTCTGTACGTCTGGCTGTGCCGAGTCTGTTGCAACAGGCGAAAGAAGTCGCCCAAGATATGCTGAGTCGTGATTCTGGCCATCTTCCACTGGCCGGAGCTTCCCTTTTCATGGACGAGTTTGTGATGGAAACTCTGCAGGTTCACATGCTCGCCGTCACGATCGGCAAGCAGCTCGAAGAGGAGACCTACGAAGACATGCAACGGGTGCGACTACCACTCATCTTTGGAGACGAGTATCAGAGATGGACGAGTTTTAGTGGTTGAGTAGGTAACCTTTCACCTTTTGGGGTTTATATTATCCTACCATAATTGGAAAGGTTAACCTGTTTTGGGCTAGGGTACTCAGCCCCTAAGGAGCAGCTGGCCTGCATTGCGGAGTCCTGTGGTCGCACAGATGGCAGCCATGCGGCTTTCATGCTTGGTCCGAGCGGCCCTGAGAGGAGCAGGCACTCGAAAGCTTGAAATCGCGGAAGTGCGTCGCGTTTTTAAGGATTTAGCTCCGCTGCGGCGCATGCGGGACATCTTCCAGCACTTCCTGCAGAAGGATCCCTACAACACGTTAGAATTTCTGGACCTCGAGCTTGACCAGATGGATTATGATTCGACCGAGGGCAAGCACCATGGACACTGGCCAAAATGCAGACAGCGAGACTGTTTACTCGGCAGCGGCGTAGAGCTGGTCTCAAGGAGCCGACAGCTGCTGCTCCCGGTTCCTTCCAGAGCCCATGGCTTAGCAGCGGGCGAAGATGAGATCAAGCTCGCTCTCCGCGTGGACCCGAACCTCGGTGCAGGGTTGGATCTGGTCCCAATGCGGTGGGGCATGCGGGTCGAGACCGTCGAGAAGCAACCTGGTCAAGTAGGCCTGTCACCCGGAGATATCATAACTGCTGTTGATGGCATGATGTTGGGCTTTGCTGACGAGGATGCAGTGCAGGAGGTCTTCGCCGCCCTCTTCCGTGATGGTGCAGAGCTCACTATCAGTTTGCGACGTGTGCAGACAGTGCTGCTGCCTCCTGAAGCCAACACATGGCCATCCAGCTTTGAGGAGGACATCTACATAATGTCGGAAGAGTTCGGCATTGAGGCGACATTGCTGGGAGCTAGCATCGCGATAGTTGGGCCGTCACTGGTGATAACTGAAGCTAAGGAGGAGCTGCAGCACATCTTCACTTTCTATGCAAATAACCGCCAGAGGAGCGACTCTGTGACTAGAATGCAAGACCATGACGAATCCATCATCTGGGAAGACCCATGGCTCGTCAAGTTTTCCCAGGCTAGCATATCCCAAACCTTCCGCATGGGCATCGGGGTCGACCAGACGATTCACGACATCATGCTCGATCGATCCAGGATCCGTTGCGAATGTACTTTTGCTTTGGGAGTTGTAGTTTGGAGTTCTAGTCGAGCTCTCTCCCGACAACAAAGATGGTGTTCTACCTTTAGCCGTCCACTTCATCTTTATTGCTATGATTTAAAGCTCGGGTACTTGGTATTGGTCCTTAGGGTTCCTTGTTACAACAGTGTACCCCAATACCCTATTCTAGTTATTAATTATTATTGAGGCCCCTATATCACTGGCCGTAGTTGCAAGCCGCGCGACGAAGCATCCAGGCAAGGGCTCCCAAAGCCCTGTAGGAATATAAGGGCTGCAATTAAGATTTAGACTGGGTTCCTTGCATACGGGTAAGAAATGTCTATAGGGCTCTTTAGGGCAACTTTAAGTGTTTGATACAGGGGCCTTAATGATTAGAACGGGTTTCGAGGTCTGTTGCAGTGCAGTTATACACGTAACCATACGATTTGTTTTATTTATCCAGGCTTCTGCAACAAAACCTACGTCGTATGTTATTGTCTTGCCTAATTAGAAAAAGTATTTGGGTATATTTCCAGGCCGAATGCCTCCCGAAAATGATAAGTAGTAGTCAGGCTGCCTACAACAAGAGGAGGAAGGGATTACTCAGATTACTAGTTACTAGGGCCATCAAGCGCACCTCTGCCACAACTTACGGCACAGGAATGACGCCGGAAGAGCTTCCCCCATTGGAGCTGGTGAGACACACAGACGGCCAGCTCTACTCACTGTCCAACCGAAGACTCTTTGTCTTCCGCGTCCTCAGAAGTTCTGGGACCAGATTTTGGGAATAGCTCTTGTTTGTCCAGTGGTTCAGTATGCGCCTGAAACATGAAACAGATACAGATTTTATCTTAGATTCTGCAGGGTCCAAACAACAACCGAGGCTTTGGGAAGGTGACCAGGCTCCGTGGCATAGTTTATGACAGCTCCCATGAGAGGGTGCAGCGCAAGAAACGGGACGAAGAGAGTGGCGAACTTCTTTCCAAGTGGGACCGCTCGTTTTCCACTGCCAATGGCGGAAGCTCTGTGCGAGTAAAGAGTCGTTACGCCCACCGTCAGGAGTCGTAGAACCGTGGCGAAGACTTGGAACGGTTGCTTGCACCGCAGACTTCATACATCATCGATTTCTGAGAGTTGATGGCAGTCGATTTTGCGAGCATCAGCACTCACACAAAAAATGTTGCCTCCAGCTGCTCTTCTGAATTTCGTGCGCACTTCGGACACACGGCACAGCATTTCTTAATGTGAATCCCATAGGGGCTTCGTGCGTTCATCGGAGAGAGGACTTCCCTTTCTTTGAAGTACTCGAGTTCTGGCGTTAAAGCCAAATAAGCCCTATAAGCCCTAGACCGAAACACCTGTAGGGTTCAAACACCCTAAGCAATTAAGACTTCGGGTTTCTGTTTGGCTTTGGCAAGTTGCAAGCATGAGGCTTGAGGTTGTGTCCAACCACAGACCTATACATCCCAAAAGTAAAGCCCAAACCTCAAAAGCATAACACCGTCATTCCTCCTCCGTGCTTATGACTAAGTGTTCTTGTGCCGCACGAGCACCAACACTCGCAACAGCTCCACCCGGGACACGAACCTCCCCTGATTCCCGAAATTATCTAAAAATTGGAAACCCCGATGCATCCAACCCCATATATAGATAGAAAAAGACATGCTGTTTTAGCACGGCCTGCATTTGCTTTATACGTCGGGCTGCCTGTTTCGAGCATGAAGCCTAAACACCGAACCCCAAACTTATACCTGTTCTACTTGGGAGTTGGTCTCCTTATCAGGATTGAATAGTACATGAAGCCTGCCCCCTAAACCCTAAGCCCTATACCTTAAGCCCTAAACCCTAAACGTCTTTCCACCTTGTCTTCTGCCTAAGAAGCTTATGTTTCACTCGCGTGATTGGGCCAAAAACCCAGGATCCGCGAATAGGGTTTAAGGTTGAGGATTTAGGGGTTTAGGGTTTAGGGTTTAAAGCTTCAGGGAACAGCTTTACAAATTAACACACAGTAACTTTATACTCCCCATTGTGAAGCCTTAAACAGGATACCGTTTAAGAGGCAGCCCCAGCAGAACAACCCTGTGTGACCCGAAATTCACAAAGTTCCTGAGCCCTGAACCCATGCATCCCTAAAGTCCTAAACCTCAAAGCCCTACCACCCCAATACCCAAGAGCCTTCAAATTTTGCAAACCGTAAACTCGAAAGAATTGCTTCCAGTACACCCTACTAGCCCCCTACGGCCTGTTTACGAGCTGAAAGAACTAAACCCCAAACTAAAACCTTTTTAAAGAATCCTTTTTACACGCCTAAGCCGCAATTCAACCCAACTCCAAACCCTAAACCCCCGCCTGAGAGAACAACTGCAGGCCTCAAGCCTTAACCCAACCCCAAACCCCAAACCCCGATGATCCCAGGTCAACATCCAAAACAACGAAGGGCGCAGGAGCTCGGCCAGCAACGGCACGGAGGCAAGAGCAGCTCCAAAAGCTCTGTAGCCGTCGCAGTAGGTCGTTACGGGTTTAGGGTTTAGGATCTAGGGTTTGGGGTTTAGGATCTAGGGTCTAGGGTTTAGGGTTTAGGGTCTAGGGTTTAGGTTTTAGGGTTTAGGGTCTAGGGTTTAGGGTTTAGTGTCTAGGGTTAGGGTTGGAACAGTAGTAGGGTCGAGGGTTCAAGATTTTGTGTTTTGGGGGTTGGTAGGGTTTAGGGTTTAGGGTAGTAGTCATCGTCGTCGCGGATGCGAAGTAGAAGTCTGGTTTTGACTTCACACCTAAACCCTGAAACCTAAACTAAACCCAAAGCCTTTAAATGCCCAAAACCCTAAACCCTAAAAAACCCTAAAACCCTAAACCCTACAACCCTACCACCCTACACCCTAAACCCTAAAACCTCCAAAACCCTTAAAACTCTAAAGCCTTACACCCCAAACCACAACTCTGAGAGCCGACACCTGGCCAGGAGTCGGAAGAAGGTCTCGGAGATGAGGTGCGTTCGCGGGCTTTTCGGGTTCAATCTAGGGCCCTCAATAATTACCTATATTATTGTAGGGATTCCTTGTTATAGTTATAGTATAATGGGCTTCGTTCTTTCGGGGCTTTAGGGTTTTAGGGCTTTAGGGTTTTAGAGGTTTTAGGGTTTAGGGTTTAGAGCTTTAGGGTCTTCTTTGTTTTAGCTTTTTAGGGGTTTTAAGGTTTTGGTGTTCCTAGTCGTAGGGTGGGTGTAAGGTTTAGGGTTTAGGCGTTAAGGTAGCTTCTTCAGGAGCCTTCCGAGAATGAGGATCCTTCTACTTCATGTTTCTATCGGTTCAAAACACCGTCAAGCCTTGTGCTTGACCCTCGGATCGTTTTGCAGGTTTGCTGGTGCTTCGCTTTGTTTGACTGACGGTGTCTCCGAAAGCATTGTCGGTGGGAATACTTCGTTAGAGTACACCCCTAAACCCTAAACCCTAAACCACCGTGGCTTTGCATTATAATGTACGGCCCAAGCCCATGCCACTTAATCACACCCCTGCACTATCTCCCAGGAAGAGTGACGTTTTGCAGCATCCTTCTAGGGGGCATTTCCAAAACTTAAGGCACGTCCTATTGTCCCTAAACCC